ACCACCTCATGCATAATCCCTTCTTTTCACATAATTTGTCTAAGTCTTTCGACACATATTCTCCACCACCATCAGTTCTTAAAACTTTGAGCTTTCAACCACTTTGTCTTTCGACCATAGACTTAAACTTGGAAAATACCTCAATCACTTCACTTTTCTTCTTGATCAGATAAATCCACAGTTTTCCACTGAAATCATCTATGAATGTAAGAAAGTATTTGTTACCTCCCATCTAAAATCCACCTGAATTGGTCCACATACATCAGAGTATATGACTTCGAGAATAGCCTTCGACTTGCTTCCTGAATCCTTGCTGAAGCTATTATTGTGTTGCTTCGCCTGCACACATTCCTCACAAACCTCATTTGGAATGTCGATTTCTGGAAATCCTAAAACCATATTTCTTATCTTCAAATCTTTAATGTCTCTGAAGTTTAGATGGCCAAGTCGATAATGCCATATCCACTCATCTTTGCGAGCTGCAGTCAAAAGGCATTGGTGCTCCATCACATTAAGTTCAATCTTGAAAGTTCTATTCTGAGACATAAAAATTTTCAATATCAACCTTCCATTTGTGTCGACGACTCTCGTCATCTTGTCTTCGACCAACACTTTGTAATTCTTTTTTACCAACTACCCCATGCTGAGCAAGTTGCTCTTTATTCCTGATATGTACAACATATTGGAAATTACTAACCTTTTCCATCTTTCCTCATAATTAAAACATCTCCAATACCTTCGACTGCTATAGTATTGTCGTTTGTGAATTTCATTATGTTCTTCATTGGGGTTTTAAGTTGACAAACCAATATTTCCTTCCAGACATGTGTGGTGAGCATCCTGAATCCATGATCCTTGAAATTTTCTCCATCTCTTGGTGTAACCATCTGCAACATCTACTCTTCTTCATACTTTATGAACTTTGCATCACTTTATTGATTCTTTCGCTTTTCTGGACAATCACTCGAATAGTGATCATACTTCTAACAATTGTAACACTAAATGTGACTCTTGTCAAGTTTTCGATCACCTCCTCCTCCTTTATTCGCAACATCACCTCTTTGGTTGCCTTGGTATGGTCTTCTCTAGTTCAACTCATTATCTACATGTTGATTTCCTCTACAAGTCGAATTATTGTAGCCACCTCTACGTTTATTGTCGAACCATTTTCCTTTGCCTTTCTTGTCTCTTGCTGATTGAGCCTACAAAGCAACGTCACTCTTTGACTTGCCTGCATCTTTTTCAGCCATTCTTTGTTCGTAAGATTCAAGCGTCCCTTGAAGCTCTTCCTTCGACAAAGGTGATATGTCCTTTGACTCTTCTATAGAAACTACCACATGGTCAAACTTCTGAGCCAGAGATCTAAAGATCTTTGAAACAACAGCTCTTGTTGTTAACGTCTCTCCACAAGTCTTGATTTGATTCACTAGTTTTGTAATCCTATTAAAGAAATCAAATATGCTTTCGCTATCTTCCATTTGAAGCAATTCATACGTTCTTTTATGAGTTTGTAACCTCACCTCTTTCACCTGCTCATCGCCTCCAAACGATTTCTTCAGAATCTCCCAGGCTTCTTTTACAGATTCAACATCACTAATATTTTTCGAAATTGTCTGAGCTGACACATTGATGAACTATAAAGAGAGCTTTATAATTCTTCTTCTTAGATTCTCTATATGCCGCTTCTTCTTTCTCTGAAGTGTCTTCATCAAGTGGTTCTAATCTATGTTTCACAAGATCCCAAAGACCTTGAAAACAAAATACAACCTTCATCTATTTACATTAGTTCTCATAGTTATCGCCTTTAAGAATTGGGAGACTTGCTGGAAAATTTTTGTTAGCGTAATTCATCGCCATCGAATTTTCTTCTTCTTCCTTGATCGTTCTTGATCGTTCTTCCTTAAATCACTCAATTGGAGCTCTTGATACCAGATGTTGAAAATCCACCAAAATCTATGATGAATTTCTATCAATCTTGATGAACAAGATTGTTATCACTACACAATGACAATGAAAAATATGAAAGAAAGAAAAAAGATAATTATTTTTTGCAGAGTTTCTCTCTGCCCACAAACTGTGGAAAACTTCTTATTCGCTTTGCAACTGCAAAATTCTGTGAATGCAACTTGATTAACTTAATTACGAAAATAGAGTTACTCCCTCTATTTATATATTTAGGTTAGCTTACTCCCTAAGCCAAAGCCCAAAATTATGAAAGCCTAAAATACCTATTTTGGAACTAAATCAAATATATCTATTTTAGATCTAAATCAAATCTATCTAAATTTAAAACAAATCTGTGTGTAAGAAACTGTTTCCACACTTCTAAATCAAGTCAAATCTTTTTGACACTCCCTTGTCTTTGTCGAGCAAACTACTTCGACACAAGAAATTACTTTCAACAAATGTCAAGTAGGTATATAAGCTAGTGATTAAAAAAAGGAAGTCACGTGTTAAATTTGAAGTGTTTGAGATAATGTCTAAACTAAGGATGAATCACTTTGTTGGTATAACCAAAGGAAAGGTATGAAGACCTAGATCCATGGTAGATGAAATTATTGAAGGAGATGCAACAAAATAATATAACATGTTGTGGAGTTATGCAACTGAGTTGAAGAAGCAATTATTGAAGGAGATGCAACAAAACAATACTGTGAAGATTAACACTGAGATACCATTCCCAACTCTCCCACCAATATTTGGGAGATTCTATTTTTTTATAGTTGTAATAAGGGTTTACTAAGGCATGCGGACCTTTTATTTGAGTAGATGGGTGTCACCTTAAGACACAATATGGTGGAAAGTTATTGGTAGTTGTGGCTAGAAATCTAAATGACTTGTGTTATCATTTAACTTTTGGTGTAAGGGAGACTGAAATAAAGGATAGTTGAAAATAGTTTTTACAATTATATACGGAAGACATTGGTGAAAAAAGAAAGTATGTTTTTATCTCAGGTCAACAAAAGGTACAAGATGTTATTACTGTTTGACTGTTTGTTTGTTTAAGATTTTCAAAGTTCCATTTTTTTTTTACAGTTTGTTTTTTATATTCTTAGGGACTTGTGAAGATAATAAGGACGGGTCAATGTTTGGTGTTGAGGTAAAAATGAAGTTAATAAATAAGTCTCACATCAATTTGTTTTCAAATTATATAAGAGTTTATATAGCTTAAATATGTGTTGGATATTGATTAAGTGGATTGGGTAACAATGTCCTCAAATATTGAGTTGATGCTGTAGTTATGTGGGCTTTTAGGTCTAGAAAATGTCTTTCCAATATTTTTCATATTTAAACTACCCTAATATTACATTAAAATGAAATTAAAAAAGATTAATAATTTATAAAATAAAAAACAATTGGTTTTAATTAAAAATGAAATAAAATATGACCTGGCCTCATGCCACGTCATTAATGAGTAGTCATCGAGGTAAAATTGGAGGGGGCAGCAAAATTTCAAGAGAAGTGAAGTTGAGGAACCAAAAAGTTAATTTTTAAAATGGAGAAATTAAAAATTAAAAATCATCAAACTAAAAAACCAAAAATATATTTAAACCTTAATTCTTTTATAATACAAAATCTCGATATAATATAATAAAGTTGTATAGAGTGAAAACTTCAAAAGGTGACCGGTAGCTCCCGGCAGATCGACAACCAGTTAAGTCAGATTCGAAATTATACTTATTTGTCAATTTCATCGGTTGGTTTATTCTGATTGAGTACTCATTGAATTTTGGTTTTCGGGTGGAGAAAGAGTTAGTAGGTGATGGTTGCATGTTGCAACTCAGTTACAATGCTCTTCGTGGTGGTAGTTCTGACAACTGTTGCATCTCCTTCTCCAGTGAGTCGCCTAAACGACATTAATTTAGTCACTATTGCAGGTTTGTGTTTTTGGTGCAAAGCTGATATCGTGAGCTTTTGATTCTCTGATTGACTTCAGATCTGTTGAGATTTGTATTTTTTAAAATTTAAGGTTTGCCTCCTTGCCTTCACTGCATTGGCGTTGACTTAATATTTGTATCAATCATCATGATTAATGTCGAATTAATTAGATATTCATACCATTCTATCTAGTTAATGTTGGATTGTTTGACTCGAAAGAGTCGTCTTGTTTAATGGGTTTTTTCTAGAGATTGTTGGTTCGTGAATTGATTTGTGTTAGCGGTTGATTCATTCTTCGTCTAGCAAAGTGAAGACTAAGACTCATGTTGTAATTTTGATATTAGATTTCACGCAAGTGTATATTTGCTTTAAAATAGTTTCTGTCATGTTGTAATTTTGCTATTAGATTTCACGCAAGTGTATATTTGCTTTAAAATAGTTTCTGTCATGTGTTTGCTTTAGCTTATTCTAAATAATTGTCATATTTAAACATTATGTGTGCTCTTCTAGGTTGATTTGATGATTAGACTGGATTTGATTTATATTTTCTTTATTTTCGTTTTATATATATTTGACTTACTAAAAAAATCTTTATATATAATTTGTATTATTATAATACTAAAGAAATTAAAAAAATAATAAATATTTAGTTATCACTCTACAAAAACATTTTAAAAAGTAGAGGAAAAAATCACTTAACTTTATTCCTCCAAACTCGCATTCAAAAAATATAGGAAAAAAATTCATTAACTCTATTCTTTCCAAAGCTCTGAAATCTCGCAATTTGAGCCTAATATTTTTATTCATGCTAGTAATATTTAAGATATTACCATGAATTAGTCCATAAATACGAAAACAATTTTAAAAAATTGTTACAGTTCATTTATCAAATGATCAACTAATACAATTATAATTATAATGTTAACTATTACATAAAAGTTCATCAGTAATCAATCCACTTTGAATTGGCACCATAGATATATATGTTTTTGATAAAAATATGTTCCTAGGAAACTGTTCTATTTCCAATATTGACATGCACAGAAAGAAATGAATTAGATGACAGTAGCATCAAAAGAAGACAACACAGGAAATAAATGGCTGAGGGAGAAAAAGAAAACTCAACCCCTGTAGCTGGTTTGATCTACTGTGTATGGATAAGTTGGTGGAGCAGCAGCACTTCCATAATCATATACCCCATAGCTAGTCTGTCCTGCATAAGAACTACTGGATAGGTAATTAGAAGGACCTAAGTTGTTGTCAACAGGGTATGAGTAATGTTGTTGTTGTGCTATTCCTATTCCAGCTGGGCTTTGAGAGATGGAGTTTCCATAGGTTGCTGCATAATGATTAGCAGCAGTTGAATTTTCCAACATAGTTTGGCTTGGGTAATGTAATGGTGCTGAATATCTTGGACTAGGACTAGGATGTATAGGAGCCAGGTTCCTGCGACTGTAAGATGACGGGTATACACTAGTTCTGACTGATTTGGCTGGACGAGAAGAGCTTGATCCACTCCCTCGACTGCCACGCTTTCGAGATTTACTTCCACTTCCAACTCCACTTCCACTTACAAATGATCTTGAACTTCCAAATATTGAAGTCTTCCTTCGCTCAGCCCTGCTTTTCTCCAACTGGGAGGCCCGCTTTTTCACTTCATCGAGCCTAAATTCTGATTCAAGTTTGTGATCTTCCACACATTTGATTACATCCTTAATTGAATTCAACTCCAAAGTAGTTGACTCATCCTGAAAAAATACAATGATTTAACAAAGTGGTCCATTTAAGACGTGTTTCATGGGGGTAATTAACATATTCACATTACTATATGAAACCAAATCGAAAAGGTAGTACATACTGTGGCAGCGTGACTGTTATTTCCATTCGCCAATATGCTAGCTGCATTACTTTTGTAGTTCCGAACATAAGACTCGAGTAGCTTGATTGGTTGAAATCTTTTAGTTAAACCAGATTCTGAAGCAAAATAAACAGCCTCTATCTCTTTGCCATTTTTTACTAGTTCATCTATAATATCTGCATAACACACTTGGCTTTTATTAGCTTTAAGTATGATGGGAGCTCAAAATAAAATAAGCATGATGCATTGGTCAAAACTGAACTGTATATCAATTAAGTTTTGTTCTCTGATGCTATAAGTGTGTCAAATTATTATGAATCAAGGTAAAAACTGTATGTAATATAACATAATTGAAATTTCTCTCACTAATAGATTTAAAGTCATCCATCTTCCTAGCTTTATCGTTCAGAAAATTTAACTCTTCAGCATTTAGACATCGACAATGATAGGTGTAATGGGAACATCTAAAAAATATAATATGAGCAAGGAAAACATTTAATGAGGGTTTGTAGAAAATATTGCCTTTAATAAGGTGACAACATGGCAGTTTATGGCGGATGGACAAAGTTTCACCATATAAAATGTGGGATTGGAACACGTGGCTGGTGGCAATTCACAAATTGCCTATGGTGGCTGGCATAAATCCGCTAGGCGCCACGATGATAACTAGTAAACAACATTGCCACTTAACATATGTCATTATGTCTTAGAATTTGGGTTGACCAAACTCAACCTTACAAAATCAGCTTGTAAAATGAGAAATACCTCCACTTATAAAACTATCTTCAGACCTTATCACATTGAATGTGGGACTCTTAAGTCTTAACACACACCCTTCACACCAAGGACTGAACAGCTGTAGTGTGACCCAAGCGGCTTGGTAGCAGAAGTCTGATACAACAACAACAACAACAACAACAACCAAGCCTCATAATAATTTTGGATTGGGCCTAATAGCCTAACACTACACAGGCCCTATCCCTAGGCAATGTGGGACTGAATCCACTCCTTTACACCCAACACAATGAAGTTATAGGGGACAACAATGAAGGCAACCCAAATGATGATTACCATGCTCGGGCCCCAATGATCTTGAAGTGTGGACTATGGGGGAAGCACATCAACAAATTTAAGATAAACTTCGTTACGATTTTAGAATTTGAGTTGGGTCTAATTCAACCTTACAAAATCAACTTGCAATGTGGGAATATGTCATCGAGCAGAATCATTCAAAGTAGCGATCAGTGCAATAGAACAGAGAAATATGTCTGAGTCAATGAAAGCTATTTCCAAGGAAAAATAAATAAAGAAACAAATATCTTTTCGAAGATAATTTAAAATTCAATACTCTCCCTAAAATTTGAAAATTTTAATAGCACTAAATATTATATCTATGTTCTAAGTTTGTTCTCTAACAATCCTTTTGGGTATTATATCAGAAAAAGAAATACGTAAGTGATGTGGGAAGGAATCCCCTTTAACCCATGCAAGGAAGGATATGCAAACATTATACGGCTCAAATATGATGTGTCTTCACATCCTGTCCCCTTAATTTCTCCCATGACCACCATTTCTCCCACAATTTCACCAATGACCACCATTCTTTCTCAGACCATTTCCACCATTACTCCAAACAAAGTTTCAGGTTTTTCATTTCCATCCACTCTTCCTAACATCATGACAACACCAACTTACATCGCTAACACCAAGGTTTGACCAAATCAAACTTGGTTTGCACATTATGCGGCTTCATTCAATGTACTTGCTTGTTTCTCATACCATCTCCACCATTACTCCAAAAAAGTTTCAGGTTTTTCATTTCCATCCACTTTTCCTAATATCATGACAACACCAACTTCCTTCGCCAACACCAGGCTTTGACCAAATTAAATTTGACTTGAACATTATGTGGCTTCATTCAGTTTATTTGATGTTTGGCAGATTTGACCCACAATGTGTTAAAAAGGCAATAAAAACACATTTATCAGTAGGTGGAAAACAAAAATCGGGAAGCAAGCATTTGTGTCTAATGCAAATTGAAGCATTTAAACGGGTTGAATCTAGTCAGGTTCACTTAAAACCCATAATTAATATTTATTAATATTCATTAGATATTTATTGAGAATTCGTGTCACCATTATTTTAAAATAGGATTAACATGAATAATTATGATTATGTATTATCTATTTCTATTCATAACTATTCACTTTAATCTATTTTTTAAAAGAATCGTAAAACGGTGTCTCAATAAATGCCTAATTAATATTAATAAATTAATACATATTAGTTATGGGTTTTAAGTGAACCCGGCCTGAATCTAGCTCATTTAGAATTATTAGGGCTTTAAAAAAAAACTAAAAATAAGAAGCTTTGCAGCATATAACTCAGAACTTCGCCTAATCCGATCTCACCTGAATCGCAGTATGCAGGTGGGAGTTTGGGACGTTAACTCGTATGATCCTAAGAATCAACTCGCGAGTTTGCATATAAACCATGCCCCCTCTTCTTCTTCCTATAAATGTATTTTTTACCAATAGAATCTTAAGATCCGTGCTACAATCCTCGAGGAACAATCTTTCAATAACGATTCTGGATAAACTAGAGTTTCTAAGCATTGGTGTCAGGGAGGCAGACATGGCCTAGAAAAGCTAGGGCTGAGGGGAATAACTGGTCATAAAGCATTGACAAATACTCGTGTGTTGTTGGAATACATAAAAAAAAAATCCGTCTAATAATGGTAGTCCTCACCTCACCCATATTTCTTTTGCCTCAATTGCTAAGAGAAATATTATCATTGCTAATTCAAGGAAGAGAGAACCAAAAAACGTGCAAAAATAACATCATGACCCTTCAAAATTTTAGGTGAAGCCCCACAACTACAGAAAGGATTTTTTCCACATAATAACCAATCATTGAAAGGAGCTCTTTGCCTTTTAGTTTAAGGAAGTATATTTAGATGCCAACATAAATCTAATATGTTGCAAAATGCATGAAACTGGCCATATATTAGAAAAATAAAATGATCAAGATCTTCTTCAGTTCTCGTTTGACTTAAAATGAAGAAACCAATGTGGATAGAGGGAGGTTGTTCTTTCTCTATGGAAGAGAAATAGGGTACTAAAAACCACACAGAAAAAACTTGGTAGGTTCTAAGATTCTAATCTATTGGCCTTAGCTAGTTTCACTGCAAGGTCAACGTTATGAAGCACAGCACACTAACTTCTTACAGTAAGAGCAAACATAAGTCATACACACAGACAACGCCCAAAATGATACTTGACCAAACCAGAGCATATAATTGATTAAGAAATGGATTGTTTTCAACCCCGATTACTTTAACCATTCTAATAACATAGATAGTCAACAGAACATTCTAAAACAATAGATAATTAAAAGAACCTTCTACCAACATGGATAATATAATTAGCAGAACACTAACCATATGCCAAGGTCATAGAAAAGAAACAAACCTATCATCTTGTCACCAAATTCCAATGAAGCAGCCACCTTGGCCATATCCCTCCTTGAAGCAAACTCCATCACAGATTTCCTCACATACTCATCATCCAATTTCTCCCTTAACCCAAAGCACGCCACAATCTGCAAAAACATGACCACTTCAGCAGCACCCTTCTCTGGCTCCCCATCCAGCTGTTCCTTCCACAAATCCACAAGCCCCGCAGCTCTCTCCACAATCCTCCTAGAATACACACTCGACTCTGAAATCAACCCCTGAATCAAAAGCCCACACGCCCATCTCTTATCAGTCACACCAGACTTGGCCTCCGTTTTACTCTTCAAATACTCTTCGACCGCATCCAAAACCAATCTCGGGGGGTCCACAGCCTCCTTAATCGCCACAACAATCTCCGGCCTCAACATCACTGACTCCTTCCTCTTGGAAACCACAAACCTCAGCAAAGCATTAGCATCCATCTTCCTCGAAAGAGACTTAAGAGCATCAGATATATTCAGCGTCGACAAAGGAACGGAGTTACGAAGATCATCAAGTGCAGCTTCCTTCTGCTCATCAATGCGCGCGGCGGCGGAGGATTCACGCTCCGGGATGGAATCCTCTTGGTTGTTGAGGGATTCTAGGGTTTCCTTGGATCGGGATTCGAGGGATTGGAATTTGGAATCTAGGGTTTGGAGTTTCTGGGAGATTGAGTTTTGTGCGGTGGAGAAATGGTTGGAGAGTGTGGTGAATAGGTCGGTGCATTTTGTGAGGCTGTTTTTGTGAGATTCTAGTTCGTTGAAGAATTGATTAACCCTTTCGGTTTGTGCAATCAATTGGGTCGCCATTGGAGTGTTTGTAGATGGAGTTTATGAAACCCTAATCAACTAGTTCCAAAGAGAACAACTTATGATGCTTGCTTGGATGTTAGTAAACATTGATCATAGTATACAGCGTAACTAAACTCGTGATTATTTTTTATAGAATGGACCAAATATTTATGGATATAGTACACAAAATGGGTATTACTTTTCCCACGTTAATACACCCAAAAGTCACGAAAGCTCCTAGATTTTAAAAATACGTCGTTGAATATATTCAAATTACACACTCTAAACACTATATTGAATGAGTCATTCCATTTTATTCAGAGTTTAAATATAAAAACATTCCTCGTAACATTAGCGAATTTGAGTTTTAATCTCTCGTAAAGTTTTTTTTTTTAATTCCCCCCTTGTGTTATGTAGATTCCCTCAGATCTCTCCACTGGCCAGATGTCATGGAATCTTGAGTGACGTGTAGATTTATTTGCCACGTCCTATTTCCAATTTAGCTACATGGCATTCTTAATTAAATCATCACCTTGCCTAGTTGTAAATTATATTTTATATTCGTTATAATTCCCCTGCAATGTTATGGTTTATGTGAGAAGTCTGTGATGCGAAGACGATTAGTCGTTAGGGTTCATTTTCCGTTAAAGTTGTTGTCGTCTACAAGCGTCTGATCGTCATGGGTGGAAGTAAGTGTTCTTCAACAAGTAAGGGTTTGTCAAGATGTGCTGCAACAAAAACATGAAGTTATGGGTGTCTAAGACAGTCGAAAATCCAAGCAGGAAATTCTGGAAATACAGAAATTCCATGGTGAATTATTTATGAGGTTGTTATTTTTCTTATATGAACCTTCTCATTTCTTTATGTTTTAATATTGGGTAAAGATGCAGAATGATTGCGGTTTGTTTCTCTGGGACGACATGGTTAGCGAGGTTGAAGTGAATTCATCTAGGTGTTGTGAATTGGACATGAGTAAGGGTTATTTGTGCGAATTTGCGAAGGAGATCGTTGAGGAGAGATCAAATAAGGTGGAAAAACTGAAGAGAAAGCTTACAATGAAAAAGACATAGAATTTCTGGATGATGACTGCAATTGTTCTGTCTTGGATGTTATTTGCATTTGTGTATTTTAAGTAGTTGGTATGGTTTGTAATTGGATCTTGGTCTGTCATGGTTTGTAAGACAAACAAGTTTGTGTTGAATTAAACTCTAATTTTTGGTGCCCAATGTAAGACAAATTATGTTTTGTTGAATGAAATTTTAAGTTTTGTATAATTTAGTTAAAGTTACATTCATAGACAGTGAATATGTCTATGGCACCAACGTTATATTCATTGAAAGCAAAATTTTGATAGCAAGAGATGTCTAAGACAGTTGAATAAAATTTTGACAGCATAGTTGAATAAAATTTTGACAGCAAAGTTACAAAAGGCACACTTGGTGCATATGTCTATTACAGCATTACCAAAAGGCACACTTGGTGCATATGTCTGTGAGCAACCCCTTCATATAATTAGTTTTGAATGATAGTAAATATGTGTGAAATAATCAATGAATGTTGAAAATGATTTACCTATATGTGTGCATTGTAAAAATACAATATAACATGTTTAAAAAGAGTTAAGAATGTGTTTTACACATAAAATACTATTATGAGTCGACACAAAGAGCTTTGCATTGACACATAGTTAAGCAAAGAATCATAAAAATGATTTTGCTTCAGTATGAGTCGACACATATATGCCATGCATCGACTCATAACATGTTGATGCTCCTGGAATACAATTTTCAACCTTTATGCATTGATACACAACTTCATGCATCGACACATAATATGTTGATGTCCCTGGAAAACAAGTTTCAACTTTTATGCATCGATACATAACTTCATGCATCAACACATAACATGTTTTATCTTTAAAAATCAAAATTCAATTCAGTATGTGTCGACACATATGTGTTATGTATCCACTCATGTAAAATGGTTGGCTCTGTAATATATTGTAGTATTAGTTTGCATCGAATCATTTTGTGTTGTATAACTAACATGAGTCAACTCATGCTAACATGTATCGACTCATAATGCGAATTCTTGTCTCTAACTGTTTCCTGTTACATATATAAGTAAGTTTTCAGCAGCAAATCAGGTGTGACACATTATTAAAATTGTGAGCATCAATTACTGAGTAACAAGAAGCCGGGAAGATACTTCATCTTCATCGTCTTCTCAATCATCTTAATTCAACAACAACAACGAAAGTCAAACATCTTTGTTCAATTAGATCAAGAGATCAAGAGATTCATAAGAGATCAAGAGATTAAGATTTAGCAGTAGCCGTCTAACAATGTCTATTACAACATTACCAAAAGGCACACTTGGTGCATATGTCAAACACAATAATAATACAAGCAAATAAAAGGCACACTTGGTGCATATGTCAAACACAGTAATAATACAACCAAATAAAAGGCACACTTGGTGCATATGTCAAACCCTTAGGCCTATTAGAGATAACATAAAACTTAGTCTCTAATTTTTTTGGTCCCCTGTGTTTTCATAAACCTTGTTTTCACTCCTAGTTTGGAGTCCTTTGAACCTGACTTCTCTCCAACTTCTGTTATGGTGATTGGTTGCTCACTAAATCCTGGGCCTGTAATTGGTTTCTTAAACTAACTCAACTTGATCATTTCACTTTGCCTTCTTTTGGTAACTGGCTTCTTTCCTTTCTGTTCCTTTGAGTTAGCCACAACAGATACAGTATGTGAATCATTAACCATTGTACCATGTCCATCAGTTGGAACTGCAATATGTACATCAGTTGGAACAGAATTCTCCCCATCAGTTAGATTTGCATTTTGTACATCAGTTGGAACAGACTTCTCCCCATCAGTTAGATTTGTATTTTGTACATTAGTTGGAACAGATTTCTCCCTAGCATTTTCATCTGCACTATGTGTATCAGTTGGAAGTGTACTTTCAGCTTCACCAGAATTTTTAACTTTACTTTGCAAAATTAATAATATGTTAGATTAGTCATCAAAAAGTTTGTACAACAGAATGAATTTTGAGAAACAGTTATACCTTTCTTTCTTCTCCAATGAAAGATTTCTCTTCATTTTTCCCACCTTATTTGATCTCTTCTCAACGATCTCCTTCGCAAATTCGCGCAAATAACCCTTGCTCATGTCACATTCGCAACACCTAGATGAATTCACTTCAGCCTCGCTAACCATGTCATCCCAAAGAAACAAACCGCAACCATTATGCATTTTTACCCAATATTAAAACATAAACAAATGAGAAGGTTCATATAAGAAGAATTACAACCTCATAAACAACTCACCATGGAATTTCTACATTTCCATAATTTTCTGCTTGGATTTTCGACGGTGTTAGACACCCATAACTTCATGTTTTCGTTGCAGTCACATCTTGGCAAACCCTTACTTGTTGAAGAACACTTGCTTCCACCCATGACGATCGGACGCCTGTAGATAACAACAACTTCAACGGAAAATGAACCCTAACGACTAATCGCTTTTGTAACACAGACTTCTCACATAAACCCTAACATTGCAGGGGGTTATAACGAATATAAAATGTAATTTACAACTAGACAAGGTGATGATTTAATTAAAAATGCCATGTGGCTAAATTGGAAATAGGACGTGGCAAATAAATCTACATGTCACTCAAGATTCCATGACATCTGGCCAGTGGGAGGGATCTGAGGGAATCTACATAACACAAGGGGGGAATTAAAAAAAAACTTTACGAGGGGCTAAAACCTGAATTCGCTAATATTGCAGGGGGTGTTTTTATATTTAAGCCTTTTATTTAAAACCATTTTCAATAATAACTTTTATTTGAAAACTCATGATTTTACTTTCAGCTAGTTTTATGAAGATGAATCTCTGAACGGGATTTAACGTATGTTTGGATACACGTTTGAATTTATATTCCCACATTTGAACACTACCCCACTGTGAAAAAGAGAAGCTACAAAGTGTATCTTCTGGGCCAGATGTGTGGTTGTTGGTTATCCGCTGTGAAAACAAACATGTCATTAATTGAATGTCTCGCGCTAGAACCTTCCATTTTCTTCTTCATTTTCTATAATTTTAAAAGTACTTCAACTTCAAAGCTCGTGAACAAGAACCAACGTTTTTTTTAAGTTTCAACACCATTTCAATTCTATTGCAATCAATCCACTATATTACATTCACTTCGATCAAGCTTTCGTACAACTAGTCTCTAAATGGGTAACTTTCTCATTTTCTTTATGTTCCTTTGCAGAACCACCAATATTGTTGATTGTGGAAACTACGGTGGAGCGGAGCTTCTGGTGCACCATGTTGATGTGACACAGTGGATCGAAAATGGTGATCATAGTGCTTCTTGAACTAGAGGAATCAGACTTGTTACACTCCAACGTCCAAGTCAATTTAGCAAGGTTGTTAAAATCTCGACTTAAAATCTAAATTTTAAAGATTTCACATTTCTATGTCATCATTTTATGTTAAATCATAGGTGAAAACCTTTTTATGTAAAATCATATTCTGGGACAATTTTAAATGATTTAAATCGCTCTGAAATCAATAAAATCGTTGGATTTTACTCTTTGACCTGATTTTACTTTTTTTGGTCAAATTTTAAAAAACACTTTTTATATTTTGCCCCCTTGAAAACTTCTTTTGTGCTTTTTAATTTTATTCACATTCATATCTTAGTTATATTATTGAAGAACCTTTATCATCTAGATATAAATTTAATCAAGTTGAATATGAATACACTAATAAAGATGATGTTGTAAATGAATTGAACTTTTGATTAAGTTAAAGATTAAGATGAAAACACTTGTTTCTTTGAACTTGAGAAACTTATGAAATTCTTATTTTTTTTGGATAATCTTTTGGATGTTATTTTTTATGATTTGGTGGGTAATTTAGGTAGTTTGATACAAGTTTGTGAGTATTACACTTTATTATGGTGATATAGTATATTTTTTATTTATAATT